TGAGAGACACAGTGGTATATGGATACCAAAGCTCTGCCTACTCCAGCCCTGATGGCCAGCACTTATATTTCCTCAGCCCAGCCCCCTTGCTCCTCCTTTGGCTGCCTCTGTCCAATCAGCCTGGTTGAAATTCCTATTGGTTGTTTGCTAGAACCAATCATAAAAGATACACCCATTTCCTATTCCCTTTTATGGGAGACAAAAAGCTATATTTCCTTGTATCCATAAATGGCAGACAAGTAGCCATATATCTTACATTTACCTCGACCAGGCACCTCAATTACCAGATAACCTTTGGCCCCTGTTGCCCTATTCACCGCAAACCAGATGGCTAAAGCAGATGGTGCATGGTTTCTAATTTTTTTATCTTAAAGAGATCTTGAGTTCACCTTCTCACCCACCATAATAGGAATCTAACATAAGAATCTAACATTTCTTACTTTCTAAATCCTTTGCATAATTACATTTAAGCCAATATATTTCATACATAACATAGATAGATTTTTAGAAGGAAAGGCCTTTTCAAATTAGAAGGAACTTAGTAAAAGCTAAGTTCTCTTAGTTCTATAAAGAAACCTTTTCCCTAACCAGCAGCTGTTTCTTCCATTTAACCTTTAACCTTATGGCTCGAGTCTTCTGTTAAACAATAAATTTCACTATTTACCAGTTCTTAATTGTGTTTTTACAGCTTGATTGTATTCTGGTCAGTGTGACCTTTTGCTCTCTGGCTCTAATTTCCTTTTACAACCTTGAAATACTTTTTACAACCCTGAAATACTGCTATTTATAGCAGTGGGGCCCTTGAACAGCTGCCAGAGTATTCAAGCTGGTCTTCTCCCTGGCATGAGAGAAAAATATATTTACAAATATAATTTTTTAAGCTCAAAGCAGATTTTGATCAGATGCCTCAGTATCATGTCCCTGCTTTTTAAAAAGCCACTTCTGGGTGGGTCAGTATCTCAGTAAATAGATACAGTACTTCTTCCATAAAGCACTGTTCCTTCCTAACCCACCCTTGCCTGGCAGATGTGTAAAAGCAATTCACAGTGTGAAAATAGTGCAACAGGCCATTCCTTAAAAAGTGGCATCTGTATAGGACTTCCTTATCCCTAACCAACATGACATCTCTGCGTAGTTACTCATGTTTTGGAGCATAACTTTAATCACTGAGAAAGGATGGCCTGAATGTGAGATGCAGGCCTCCCATTCTCTGGAATGGCTCATTGCACTGTCTGAATGCGTACCAGAGGTGATGGTGGAACAAAGCTCTATAGAGTTCTGTGGGATCTGTGCAAGGGTGTTGGCCCCCCCATATCTAAATTGCACCATAGCATGCTCCAGCTTGACTGCTGCAAAGCATGCAACATGATAAATGTTTAAATTGAATTCTGGCCTTGCCTTTTCAGCCAATTTATTATTTTAAAAATCACCCATTGTAATATGGATAATTAGTTTGCATTGTCCTTTATTTCATCTAAGCAGTGCGTAAGCATTGCATTGGATCTCAGGGACTTGATCCTTATCTTAAATGGGTTACTTTGTTCATTGATTTCAGTGTCCATCAAATGGAACTCTCAAGTGATACACGAGCATGTTAGGGTAAGTAATTACATGCTAGTTCAATTTAAATTACTTGCACTTAATCACCGTGACTATTAATTTCTGGGCAAAGAAATAAATATGAAGTGGTACTTTGCATGTTGTGTGGCAGACCAAATGAATTACATCAGAAAATGCAACCAAATGAGATTTAATATGTTTGAGGGGAAAAAAAGTTTAAAGGAGACAAACATGTTTTACACCTTTTGTGGTACAGATAAATTTGTGATCTTAGTGTGTATAAGGAAAAATGATGCTCAAATGTGCAGCACTTTTTCATATTGGATCAAACATCATTGGAACTGTTCACATGTGATGCATCTATATTAAATATCATCTTCTAAGTAGGACCAAGCCAGTAGGATATTTAGAAAACACATCAACAGACCTTGGGGGCAGAAGAGGAAAGTCATAGGAGCATCTTTGGAAGGTCAAAGTTTGGAGTTAACTCTAGTCCAATGTGTTAAGATAAACAAAAAACAGTGAAGTCTATTACACATCCTTCACATCTTAATTTCAAGAATATTTACCTGAACAGATATTTACAAGCATTTTTTTAAAATATTTTTTATATAAAAGTAACATTTTTGCTATATCTATTCCACAAAGGTCTTCATTTAGGGGAAACTTACCATATCCAGAGTAAAATATTCAAGAAATCATACAAAAGGGACAGTAGAGCAGGGCCCCAATCCGGCAAAACACCTTCCAGAAGAGATGCAATGTATGGATACAATTTTGTTTTACCATTAATGACCACTGCATATTTCTAAATGGAGGCTACATCCAATATTAGGTATCTGGGTTCTAACCTCCTATGGCTCATAGGAAAAATTATGTAGGCTTTAGCAAAAAATTATGTATATCTTAGCACTGATCAAACTGGGAGGAGAAGGGATAGAGGAGACACAGCCCCCACCTACTCCTGTTAAGAGCTCTCACACCTTTCTGTTCTCTGTATGTACTGGAACACCCTACTTTCTCTGCTATAAGGTTAAGCAGTGGGTTTCTGGCTAACGTCAAGAATTCTGTTCTTTTTTACTTCATTTGATCTCGTTCTTCAGCATTCAAAGCAACCAGAATGATTTCACTTAACCTACAGACCTTGGTTGATTGTTAAGCTGTACTAGCTTAAAGCTAAGAGCCAAAGATTCATGAGGCCACTGAGAATTCTTGGTTAGCAATCCCTAGCATTCCCACATACATCTACAGTATCCAAGGTACCTGAGGGAAATTCATGAGCACTAAATGGTCCTCACGTGTAGAGCAGACGCAGTCTTGATTAAAATGTCTGGTAGTAGGTATAGACATGGAAATCACTTGGGAAAAGAATAACCAAATAGAAGTGTTTATAGTTCAAAAGCCTAATGTCAGATTAATCCTAATTCATCTTAATTGTAGCCACAGTGGGGTTCAGATGATGCCCCAAATGAGGAATGTGTGATCCTGCCCTTCACTTCCCTTGCTCCTAGTATCCATGCTGTTCTGCCATCCACCTATTCAGCATGTGTGAGAAGGGGCTCTATGTGTATATCAACATATGCACAAAGGTCCCCATTAGAAAGACGAACCTGATTGATCCAGGATCTCCATTCGCATGGGGGACCTCTATGATTGTATGTAATTGGGTGCATAGGGTCGCGCCTAGTCAGCAAATGTGTTGCTGGTTGGGCATGTGGCCACTAGGAATGCTGTAGTGGAGGGGAGGAGGCTAACCCAGGCATGGGCAAACTCTGGCACTCCAGCTGTTTGGAACTACAATTCCCATCATCCCTGACCACTGGTCCTGTTAGCTAGGGATGATCGGAATTGTAGTCCAAAACATCTGCCTATGCCTGGGCTACCCTGTACAAGCCTCTCATGCATTATTTGAATCCCAGCCTCCATATTAAAATGGAGAACTAGTACTCTAAAGATCACCATATGTATTCAGTAATGCCTTTATAATCCCAGCCAAAAAACTCATGCCAAACTCTGATCTCTTTTCTTTTTTCTGTGACACCCCCCCAAGTATGATGATGCAACAAACATTGCTGTTGCAAAAAGTTATTTTTTAAATCAACTTGAAAATACCTTTTAAAAATCATTGGATAAAGATTCATATTTTCACTTCTGATTGCATGGACTACACTGGGATTGGGTATTATATATCCAATTGCATTTATAACCATCTTCTCTGTTTTCCAACTATGATTAGTTGCAGTGTCCAATGTTAGCAAGATACATATATTTTACATCTCTTTATGGCAAATCTGCTTACAGTTCTCAGTGTCTGCTATTGCATTGTTGGATATATTTTAATTGGTTTTAGATTGGGGGGGAAAGCAGCATAACTGAATGATAATTGACTATAAATGAGAACACCATGAATGGGAGAAGAAAATGAACAGCAGCAGTATTTTTTTAAAAAATCCTTTTTTGCAGGCATTTGGATGACAGATGTAAATTAAGTGCCTGATTTATATAAAAGCTAAAAGTTTTCTGCACAAAAATAGGCTACTGGAAAGGGTACGTTTCAAGACATAGCTATTGTTTTCATGAAGAACCCAATTACTTCGAGTAATGGTAAATTTTTAATGAAGGGGAAGAAATTATTTCTGGGAACAACACTGCTTATTTTCCTGCCTGCTGAAATAGCAGTTCATCTCGCACACTTAATGATAGCTGCTGCTTAAAAATAAAAACAGATAAAGCTTTCTTTCCTGATTACATAGAAGATATTTGCATATTTGCCCATGTGTTTTCTAGCTTTCAAATCTGCCCCACCTCTTTTATTTAGAAACACCTCGTACAAAATTGAAAAATGTCCTCCTTAGGACTGAAGAGGAGAAACATTCCTCGCCCATATCAATTTTAGGTGCTTGCTGTGAGACAGAGAAATATACCTGACAGCATATTCCATCATGTTTGGACTCAGAAAGGTATTGGGTTAGCCTTCCTGAATTATGTTTCCCCGTAAAGAAACAATGTATGTTTCTCTCCTATCTCTTTGCATTCTAAATACTACTTTCAGAGACAATATGCTCTCACACCTTCCCCTCAATCCTTAATTCTAACCTCTTACCTCTTTCCTTTGATGTTAAGGGTGATGTCTTCCATGGAGGCCTGCAGCTATTGGAGGGCATGTAGGGGTATTGCCACCCCATCTGCATTTCGAAGCAACATAAATGAAAATATTGACCAGATATTTCAACTTACCTTCATAGCTCAATTATTTTTAAAGGTGAGTGGATTTTTCTTTACCTGTCTGAATATTTAAATTTCCTGACTTGATAATATTTGTCATACTGAACAATTATATAAATAACATTTTCATTTTTAAAAAAAGCTTTAAAAGGACTTTTTGACTGAGATTGCATTTTCAACAAAGTACATAAACGCCTAAATTTCTCCAGTGTGCCCATCCATGTGAAAATGTCTAAGCTACAGGCCTGACTTCATGCCACATGGCACACACTACAGGCAATGTTATGTTGGACCAATAGAATGAATACTGATGGAACTTAAGAAGTCATCAGCCTTTCAACGCAAAAGTGTTGTTGTACAGAATCACCAAGGAATGTGGCTTATACAATCTCTGTTTTGAGAAATCATTCCTTTTCCTAGTATATGTTCCATAACTCAAGCTGTCACGTCCGACTTCCACACAAATTCCCAGCGTAACCAATTCCTATTAGCAGAGCATACCTTATATTATAAACCTTGCAAGTAGGCCAGTGTTGCACCATGAAGCTTATACAGTTTTTCCCTCAGTGTAAAAATATACAATGCTACTGCATATATATATTTTTTGCAGTTAAAGGTCCAATCAGTCCATTGTTTTATGGCAGTTCTGTTCCTTTTGACTTTTCATACATCTCCAACCCAAACCACTGTGTTGCCTCTCTTGATACCCGAAACCTCGCAGCGTAATGTGTTTTGTCTCCCATTAATTATAAATAGTGACTCCTTTGCTGGTGTTATAAGGTATTGTCCAAATAATCCACTGTCTTGGATAATTCTGTTGTAGTTACTCCAGGGCCAGTCTTTGGATTTGATAGGGTCCTTTAAATTCTTCAATACGTCCATTTTCCCTGTTGACAACTCTACAAAAAGCACATCTGTTTGCAAATGTGAAGTAGCGTATATATAATACTGATTGCCTTCGGTGAAAGAGGACTGAAATGTCAGATCGGATATGTGCATGGTGGTTTGTAAGTCATAAATCAACTTGATTTCCCCTTGGATTGTTATTGCCTGGACTCTGATCCTCCCGCTCTGTTCATCTGCGCTGACCAAATAGCGTCCATCAGGGGAGATGTAGGGAGTACCTGATATGTCGCTGTTGGGGCCAATAACAGAATCTGTAACACTGTCAATTATAAGCTGTGGAGTTATTGGTACTGACATGTTTGTTTTGCACTGGACGAAGAAGTAGCCACCCAGATGTGTATAGGCCATGGCTAGGGGCAAACAGCTGTAGTTCTTGAAGCTGATCGTCTTGATGTGAGCCACAGTTTCCAGATCAATTTTGTGAACTACAGACTTAGACTTGTTAAAGATGAAACCAAATCTAAAATGGGGAAATAAAAGACAAACAATATATAACCAAACAGATGCCACAAGATGTTATGAGAATAACAATTCTTTGTGTCACTTGGCCCAAGAGCAGAAATGTTGTCTTGTTAAGTCTTACGCAACCCTAGGAGGTAGGCCACTATTACGCTGTCATCAATATGTATGTATTTATTTGAAATGTTTATTATTTAATAAACAATAACAGAACAAAATGGAGAATGGACACACCTAATAAATAAAGGAGTTGAGTATTAGAAGTGACCTTATGAAATTAATGTTCTGGAAATGAAAAGGTTTTCAGAGCTCACCAAAATTTCCGAGGCTAGTTGTAACACTTACTGTTTGGCTAAGTTGTTTCAGTATCTGTGGAATGCTTTGTGCACTTAGGCCAAATAAAATTAAATATTGAGTAAGTCCATAAGACAGAAACACATTTTGCTGCTTAAGGTCACAAAGCAAGTTCATGGCTAAGCTGAGATTTTAACCAGGGGTTTCCCAGCTTATCATATGACTCATGTTAACTAGGTAGACAATATTAAAGACAAGGAGACATATTAAAACTAAAATCCCATGCTAACAGCTGCTGTACCCTAGAAAGAGAGGGTTGGATGCAGGAAAGAGGATCCAGTTCTGACACATTGGGGTTTTCTGGCTTTCTCTCCCCTGCAGATACCTGCTTCTCCCAAAAGCTGATCCTGTTTGAAGAAGAATCATACGATGGAGCAGAATGAAATGAACAGGGTGGAGCAAAAAGAGACAAGATGAAAGAGTCTTAGGCTGCTGTAGAAGGAAGTGGGAGAGGAGCCTTGGAGAGCAGTGGGAAGACAGGGACCTTCAACTGCTTCATTGGGGCAAGACTTACTGGTAAGAGTTGTGATCACTAGGTCTGTGCTGTTTTGGTTTCTTTGAATAAATAGTTAACTTCACTGACACTGGCTGTTTTATTGCTGGCCTGCCCCTGACAAGGGGGCTACAATCTAAATATATTACATTAACACCAACCTAAGTCCTCAAGAATATATAGCATAGAATAGTGACATTTCAAGCCATGAAGGAGATGAGAAAGTCATGGAAACAAAACGTTAATGTCCTATAGACATAAAGTGGTACCTTGTTTTGATTCCAGGATCCGTTCCGGAGCCCCGGATGCTCGATGAAAGGGACGCTCGACAAAGCACCGCTCTGTGCATGCGCTGTTTTGCGCTTCTATGCATGCGTGAACCGCGATTTAGCGCTTCTGCATGAGCACGAGCAGAAAACCTGGAAGTACCCGTTCTGGGACTTCCGGGTTTGCTGCAGACGTTCCACTAAATGGATGCTAAATGGGGCGGACTCACAACGAGGTACTACTGTACTTGATATGATATAGTGGGTTTTTCTTTGCATAAGTTATAGAATTCTCTTGCACCTATTGAAAGTAGTGTGTTAAGACTTCCCTATCATGCCTTATAGGAAAGTAGTTAAATATTAAGCCGTGTTTGCCCTTGAGTAATTCTCAAAGGGAAAACAATAGAAAATCTGCTCCATTTCACCTGTGCTCCACACACATGTGGCTTATCTGCCTAAAAGACTAGCACATAATGTTTCTTGAGGTCATGCTTTGGAACAATTGTTACACAATCGAATTGCCAGCATTCCACTGTGTGAAAATCATACTTCAGACCTGTGTTTTCACCTATAAAACACAGCTGTCTCCATATAATAGGCTTATATCCCCTGCCTTATTTTTTTTAGCTGAAAGCATAACTGAAGTGTCCAGCCATGGCAATTTACTCCTGAAGAGTAAGCCTGCATAGTGTATGATCGCACATGAACACTCCTGGGATTTAGTGTTTCATTCAGTTGCTATACTTACATCCATCAGAAAGATGCTGTGTGGGATGGATGGAATACTGGCAGAGAAAATGAAATGGATAGGCGATTGCAGAGTAATAAGGTGACACCTGCAGCTTTTTTTGAATTAAGCCACTTGAAGACTTTAAACAAAACCTTTCAAAAACATTAGATGCTGTACACATTTAACTTGGGAACAGTCCTATTGAACTGATTGGAACTTACTTCTGAGTAGACATATACAGGCTTGCACAGCAAATATAGTAAAGCAAACCAGTAGCATGGTATACTTAAAGGTAAAGGGAAAGGACCTCTGACAGCCAAGTCCAGTCGCGAATGACTCTGGCGCTCATTTCACTTTACAGGCCGAGGGAGCCGGCGTTTGTCCACAGACAGTTTTTCTGGGTCATGTGGCCAGCATGGCTAAGCCACCTCTGGCGCAATGGAACACTGAAACCAGAGCAGCGCATGGAAATGCCGTTTACCTTCCCGCCAGAGCAGTACCTATTTATCTACTTGCACTTTGACATACTTTCGAACTGCTAGGTTGGCAGGAGCTGGGACAGAGCAATGGGAGCTCACCCCATCGCAGGGATTCGGACCGCCAACCTTCTGATCAGCAAGCCCAAGAGGCTCAGTGGTTTAGACCACAGCGCCACCTGCGTCCCCTATAGCATGGTACACTTACTAATACCCATTTGTGTGTATGAGGACCACTGGTATAATACAAAGGTAAATACATGTGCTATTTAATTAAATAACAGTTAAATGTTTCAAATAAATCATCAAATAAAGAAAGAAATGCTTTTCTGCCCCGAAACACATAACAATGAATTGCACTGGGCTAACATGATGATGCTCGACAAACCACAGGCATCCCTGGCATCTGGACACTGCACAACCAACAGGATGCATAAAGGCTGCAGAGTCACAAAGCTATGTCAGCAGAACATTTGCAAAGGCTCTCAGCTAGGCAGAGAAAAGAGTTGCTGCTGAAATCTTGCATAACCCAGAACTTCGTTTATTGAAAACTTTTCCATACTGCTATTCAATTCAAAATTTGTGGTTTACAGGAAGTAATGAAAATCTAGCAAAAACACAGAAAGGCTTTGCTAAATACAGTTACAGCAGGGAGAAGGGAATATATCCAAAGTTAAAAGCACAGGGGAAAATAAAAAGGGCATTTTTGCCCGGCACCTAATAATCATGCTGGCCATTGTTACCCCCATTGCTTCTTTGTGTACTTCCCATCTTTCTTATTTCATGTGCTGTTTCTTGTCTCTTAGCTAACATGGAGCCATTTGGAGCAGGTCTTCATGGTTTTTATTTTCTAGTGTTGTGGAGCTTTCAGCGATTGCCATGAAAGCAAAGCAAGTAATTATCATGATTGATAATAATTTCATCAGATTAAAAGTACAAACTACTGGGGCCCAGAGGACTCTTACCTGATGTGATTGATAATGAGGTTTGTATGTGGAATAAAATAATCATCCATCCCGTTCAAATGGGTGCGAATGATATGCTGGTTGTCTCCTGTACTTGCTTCTGGTATTACCTACAAGGAATAACCAAAATGCTGAGCAGAAATAGAACAATAGATGAGGCACTGAAATATAAACTCTAGACTACCTAAATCAGGGGTGGGTAACATGTGGCCCTCCAGAAGCTGTTGAACTACAATGCCCATCATCACAGACCATTGGGCTATGCTGGCTGGGGCTGGTGGGAGTTGGAGTCCAAAATATCTGGAGGGTCATAGCTTATTAACCTCTGACCTATATTCATATGACCCCACCCCCCATGTATCCAGCAGCATCCCATAGGGCAAAATGCTGGGTTTCCTGGTTCCTGGAAATAAAGGATGAAATGGCATTTGTGTGTATTATGTGACATTTGCAAGGTAAGAGAACAGTTCTCCATCTGCTTTCAAGCTGTTTATAGCAGAAGACAATGCAATCATGCAGGCATGGGAAGAATGTCCCAGCTCTAACGCTTCCATAATTTTTCTGCACAGCCTGCTATAAACATTGTTTTCAGGTTCACATATATTAATCTCACTTAAATGCACCATGCTAATTCACTGGCTTGAATGACCGACAGCAAAGTCACAGCAGTTAATTATCTCTTTGAAAAGATATCTACAGTGCCAGGGAGTGGGGGAATATATGGAAAGGGATAGAGTGAGTATTTCTTTTTTTTGAAAAGGTTATTTCTGAGAAGAATGTAAGCTCTTTGCTATAATGAAAAGCTCACTTTGTTATTTCTCCTGTGACTCCAGCAAAATATGGAGATGAGACTTAAAAAAAATCAAAATCAAACCTTAGAATGCTTATATGATGCCTAAGTTCAGTTCATTAGGTGTGTTGACTGTATCTCTGTGTTAACAGGACATCTTCAGAATTTACAGCTAAGTAGTTCATTACAGAAATGCCAGAGCCTTAAAAGATCTGCTGCAATATTTTTGTCAGGCTCTTTTGAGAAACCTGTCATTTCTTGATGAAAGTGCTCTGATGTAATCATGTAGAGTATGGTACATTAGGTTTCCACCATGCCTCTAGTGCTTTTGCGATAGTGAGGCTTCTTCATTAATATGTGTTTGAAATAACTCGTCAGGTGTTAGGGGTTTCCAATTGAGGACTTTCCCAACGACCTGTTCCTAGCGACCTGTTAATTGTGTCATCATGGCAGCTTGTAGATGAGCAATCTGCTGACCTTTGGCACCATCACCGAAGCTAATGCTTCTGCAGGGATCAAAAGTGACAAAAGTGGCCAATAGGACTCCACCTGATCCTATGAAGCTTCTGACTTTGGTCTGGTCCTCAGACTGAGCAACTTGTCAGTTACAAACTGAACCACTCTCTAAAGTCCCCATTTGTACAGCGACCATTTTAAAGGTCTGCCTGCTTTCATGCTGGGGTGTGGTAGCTGTTTGCCACTAGTCCTAACATAGCACTCTATCTATCTATATGCCCAACTGATTTGTACAATACTGCACATCTTCTGTCTGTTGCCTATTGGCAGCAACTACTACATGCAGAAACAGTGTTTCCGTGCGCTGCTCTGGTTTGCCAGAAGCAGCTTAGTCATGCTGGCCACATGACCCGGAAGCTGTATGCCGGCTCCCTCGGCCAGTAAAGCGAGATGAGCGCTGCAACCCCAGAGTCATCCGCGACTGGACCTAACGGTCAGGGGTCCCTTTACCTTTACTATATGCAGATGTTTAGCAGAGAAACCCTTGGCCTAGCATGATATCCATTAATAGGTGCAAGGGTGTTTTGGATATAAGTTCCTAGTCTCACATTCCCCCAAAATAATTGGTGCTGAATCTATGGCAGAATGCATCATCAAAGACCCACACTTCATTGTGGGTGTTCATTGTGGATCATTAACAGCTATACCACCATCTTTTATCTAATCTGTTGCATCAGTTACCATAACTCTGCCATCTATCAAATAATTTCCCCCTACAAATGTTTTCTCTGTTTATGGCCTACATTGCACTAATGTTCTTTGGAATTCTAATTAAACATGTAATTTAATTATCATAGCCCTACTGAACCATAAATAACAGTGCTGGAAGGTAAGCTAGTTCAATCCTTTATACTAAGGCAGGATCTTCTGTTCCTGAAACCATTGTCATTTTTGTATATGTTGTTCTTATCTTATTCAAATTACTATGACCATGGAGGAGAGACCTGGAATGAGAAAAGTGTTCATACCAGAAGTCCCCATGAGGCAAGGAATAAGCATAGCAAAATAGCAATGCATTCAAGTTCATGAAGCTTGCTCCATTTCTACCATAAGACACTTTTACTCTTCTTAAACCAATTTAACAACCACGAGTTCTTTAGAATATAGGTATTTAATTAATTGGTGTGTTGTAATTCACAACTGAGTTGGGATGGTAGCTATGGCACTACAAATGTGGTTTGGAAAAGAAAAAAGGTAGAAGAGAAGCATGGAAAGAGGAGAGAAAATGAAAGAGAAGGAGAAGGAGAAGGAGAAGGAGAGAACAAGTAGATAGGTATTATACATGTAAAATTAATAATAATAACAATAACAATAATAATAATAATAATAATAATAATAATTTTAAAATGAGTTACATGTTTCAGGTCAGATCAGGGATCTGGAAACGGTGAGGAACACTGCTTGAGATGAAACATGAAGAAATTAAAATGGTCCTCAGTTCTCACACTGGCAGATGAAGAATTATTTAGTTTACACTGGGGAGAGGAAACCTGTGGCTAACCAAATAGGAGCAGCTGGTGAGAAGGGGTGGCATTGCTGCTGTGCACCAGGATGGTGAGGGGGTGGGGCAGGATAGCAGAGACCTTGGGGCAATGTGGTCATACCAGCAAAAGTACCTGATTGGCTCTGCTGGTACACCCAAACCTCACTGCTACCCCACCCCCGCCATCTCACTGTCCAACTAACGTTTCAGCCAACAGGCCAGTTACGCAGTGCTACTCCTTTCCACTGGCTGGACATAACTATGGAAGTTTTTGGACTCCTCTTCTCCTTGACCATGGGCCATGCTGGCTGGGGTTAATGGGGCTTGGAGTTCAACAATATCTAGAAAGCCACACGTCCCCCATTTCTGGTTTATAAATTTTCCCATCAGCTCTGTTCTTAAGCTATAAAAAAGTCTACACAGTTTATTCAAAAGCTGTCTTTGTGCAGGTCTTTGCACTTGCAGCGTGTTTGAAACAGTGTTTGAAACGAAAGAAACAGTGATAAGGATGAGGGAGGGAGACAGAGTTGAGGCTCACATTTATATAAGATTTCCTAAATTTCTGCTGATAAGAATAATGGCTCTAAAAGAAGATTGTGATTAACTATTGCGTTTGTAAGAGGCTTACCTGCAAAACCGGATGAGACTTCTTCATATCGCCCCAGCTAAGTACCCAAATTTGGTCATGTGACTTATCATAATGTAATTTTACAGGTAGAGGGTCAGTGTCCAAGATCTTCAAAGTAACAAAAAAACAGTTTCATTAGCTCTTCCTTATGAAAAAGAATGTAAGTTATGCATTTGATTAGGGTCTGTAAGCTATTAAGAAAGCCTTTGTGCACATTTTGCATTTCATGTCCAAGTCAGACACCAAACCACTGCATGTCACTGTACGCACCCAGTTTAATACGCTGGCATACTGAGACCTGCTTTGTAAGTTGTTGCCAGCAAAGCAGCTGCTGCCCTACCATAGCTGCTTCCATACCAGTCCTGTCATCTCTACACAATTTACACCCAGATATGTAGCATAGATGGTGTGGCACACCAGTATGGTACCTGTGTCTTTTGTTTCTCTGCAGTTTGAACCACATAGCTCTGGTGCTTACTAAAATGGAGAGTGGTGAGATGGTAGGGAGTCTGGCACTGAGCAGGGACACTGGCGGGGAACTAAATGATCTCCACCCACAAAGTGCCAACTTCCCCAGCGCCTCACCCAGCAGCACAGCTAGCTGCTCAGGTGCCCGGTGCAGCACACGTGTCCTGCAGCTGGGGGCAGGGTGAGCTGCCCATGGGGGCAGGGCGTGTGTGTCGAGCCTTTCCTCAGCCTCTCCCTTTGCTGTAGGGCAGCTGAGGGAGTGGCGGTGGGCAGACGCAAGCTTCACGCTGCTTTTTCAGGCAGAGCCAAGCCTGCAGGTGCTCAAGCCACCACGCCACTCCCAAGAGAGAAGCGTGACTCGGGCATGTTGCAGGCCCCGTGGTAAGTGCCGGCCCCTGCAGTGTGGCGCCCAGTGCCAGCTGCTTTTTGTTGCGTTTGTTGACTGAACTATAAAGTTTCGTCAGCCCAATTATTATTTTTTTTAACCCAGATTTTTGACATTTTGTCACCCCCCTTCAGTGATGACACCCGGGGTAGCCTGCACCCACCTTCCTCCACCACTGGCCTCACCCTCTGTCTCCCAGTAAGAAGCAGCAACATCGCTGCCAGGAGATGAGCTGCATTGTGCCACCCCTCCCCTGCCAACCACTCCTCGATTGATTGATTGATTGATTGGTTGGTTGGTTGGTTGGTTGGCTTTGCTTAAGTGTCGCTTTTCCACAATGAGGTGCGCCCAAAGTGGCTTACAGCAAATGTTCAAAACAGAGAACACAGGAAATATAAAATACAGAACATGTTAGTAAATTCAAAGTAGCAAAAACCAACAATTTGGCAAACCGATTCAATATTACAAAAACCAACAATGATCTAGATTTAAGAACAAGAACAAGCAAAAATGAAAGTTAACTGACAATGCATTTTCTGGTACTGGTCTTGCTACACTCCAAGGAGCTTGGCATAAATGCAGGGGTTTTTTGGGGGGGGGTAGATGACAAACAGCTGGCCCTCACATCTGTCTTCCAGAGGAAGCTGACAGCACCAAAAGACAAATGTCAGCAATGATACTGAGTCTCTTCCTCAGCCTCCTGGAAGTACCAAGAAGAAGAAGAAGAGTTTGGATTTGATATCCCGCCTTTCACTCCCTTTAAAGAGTCTCAAAGCGGCTAACATTCTCCTTTCCCTTCCTCCCCCACAACAAACACTCTGTGAGGTGAGTGGGGCTGAGAGACTTCAGAGAAGTGTGACTGGCCCAAGGTCACCCAGCAGCTGCATGTGGAGGAGCGGAGACCCGAACCCGGTTCACCAGATTACGAGTCTATCACTCTTAACCACTACACCACACTGGCTTTCTACCACTACACCCACCAAGGGCTTATGCAGGTCTTCTGAACAGCACTCAGTGAATCCCTTCATCTACATATGCTTCCATTCCATGTGGCCATGTTGTGGGAGCCTTTTGAATAAGAAAGAGGTGTTGTGGACATGACAAGGGCCTAACATGCCAGCCATAAACTGACTTTAGTATCTGGGTTGCATATTTATTTGAAAGTGTCACAGAGTTCAGTGCATAGAATTACAACCTTACAGAAACTGCAATCCTGTGTTTGCTTTCTCATAAGTAAGTTTCCACTGCGTTCAGTGGGACCTTACTTTCAGGTACATGTGTAGAGGATTGCAGCCTCAGAATATGACAATACTCTACATATATAGTTATCAGCATTACATATTACAACCTAGGTATGTTGTTAACAGAGGACTTCAACTGACAGGTATTATAGTGTCAAAATGTTGTTGTCAAACTATTAGCGACATGATTAGTAACGATCCTCTTTCTAGTAGCCACCTCAGGATGTCGAGCATGGGGTATTACCATACTCCTAACATGCTGCTAACCCAGCTGCAGATTTGTATTTTTACAAATCTACTAACAAAGTCAATAGCTAGAACCTCCTTTGGGAAGAGACCAAATTTTTGGCAGTATGAAACCTTTTTGTCCCCCATCCAAAAGCATTCAGTTGCCCCTGGGAAGTTACCTGAATGACTTTCTGAGTCTGGATATCAAGGATCATTATTCTATTCCACTTTGGCTGTGTTACATAAATATATTTGTCTCTGACATTGACAGCGGAAGCCCAGAGGCAGGACTGAATGGCTTCACCTTCAACTCTAGGACAGATTTCTGCCTGAAATAAAATAATGAAAGCAGGTTTAATAAGTTTAGGTTCAGTGCTGTGATCCAGGCAGTCTGCTATATACGGCCACAGAGGAAAACGATAGAAGGTAAAACAATGAGACCTTGAAGGTATGGCTTGTGCTGAGAGTAATAGATCTAACCTGTGGTATTGAGCTAGTTCTCTGGCAAACCTTTTGGGGGACCTGTCTTTTGGTCATTTGATGGGGCTGAGGTCAAGTTGAAGAGACCTCCAAAGAGGGAGGTGGAAGTGGTAGTGCTTCAGTGGAATTTTCATTGGCTGGTATTTCTACCTTATTAAATGTGAGGGGGTCTCTCTTGCATTTCAACATTTATAAAGGCCATGTGTGTGCTTGCAGTGGCACCAGATTCTGTCTACACAGGATCCCACATTGCAGGACTCCTTGGAATGCCCACACAATGTCATATAGTCACACACATGTTCCAGGAAACACTGTTGCAATGGAAGCCTGTGCACAGAGAGTCTCACATCACTGCAAGAGCACATGGAGCATTTTTTAAAAAAAGGTTTTAAGTGCATTCTTCAGCTATTAAATTAGTAAAGTAAGAACAACTCCCTGCCCCACAAAACATCTTCAAATTTTTCAAAGTAGAAATTTGTTCCCCAGTTTGCTGCGGGAAGAATGGACATGCAAAACTGAGGTGCAAAGCCAGCTTTATTTTAAGCCAGGCATAGGCAATCTCGGCCCTCCAGATGTTTTGAGACTAAAATTCCCACCATCCCAGACCACTGGTCCTGCTAGCTAGGGATAATGGGAGTTCCAAAACATCTGGAGGGCCGAGTTTGCCTACGCCTGTTTTAAGCCATCACAGACTGAAATTTATATTCAAACAATAATATAGCCATTGAATATTTGGGAGAGCCATATCTGAGTTATGGAACTTGTGGTTCACAATACAGGGCCCTAAGTTAGCTAAGGTAGAGTCTACCCTGAGGTAAACCATATGTTTCGGCAACAGGAGCTTCTTGATAAATTTCTCAACCTTCAGTTCAATAGAACTTGGGTGGCCAGGAAAATGTGCTCCTCACATTGTGGTTTATTCAGATGAATGTATGGAACTGAAGGTCTGTGAAACTCCAGTTCTAAACTTTATAAATTTGGCATAATTACATGAATTATGGTAGGGATTCACCTCACAAGTCTCACCAGTGGAAGCCCTGTGCAATGATTTCACATTCTGTGATGGGGCTCCCCCCCCATTCCCTCTGCAGTCCTAAAATTGCCTCAGCAGGTTGAGAGAGCCCCCAGCACATAGGGGAGATGAAGGGGTTGTTCTACCCAGCACACTGAAAGGCTTGTGCTGATGGTGTGGTCAACATAGCACAACATTGAATTCCTCTTTACATGTACAATATATAAATTTCACAATTTTGCCACAGCAGGCAGTGAGATAAATAATGTAGTTTTTAACAGAAGCTGAACTGCGGCAGAAAAGCAGTGCTGCCCGCGATAAATACAGGGTGGAAAGGAAAACAAGGACTTCTTACATCCCTGATGCAAGACCAAGATTAATTAGCCCAAACTTACATAACTTGAGAAAACTTTCTCATTTGGTTTGATGTGTCTCTGGATCTCACAGTCACTTGGCTGAATTATTGTGATTCCATCATCAGAAAAGACATAGAACATGTTTCCCACACTGAGCCCTTGAAGAGAAAACAAAAAAGCAAGGGAAAAAACATGTCATAATTTCCTGTCTGAAAACAAAAAAAGTAGGCTAAACCTCAAAAATAAAAATTACTATACAAAACGAAACCAAAAAACCCCTAGAGATTTGGATGCTTTTGGTGCATTCACAAAATTAAAGTTCATGTCACAAGTAGGGCTTCAAGGTGTGAGGAAAGAGGTACAGATAAGCTCAAAAATGTATTGCCTTGGTGGTAACAATTAGAAACGTAAGACAGTATCTTGGGATCATGTGTTTTGCAATCAAATTATTATGCAGGTTTCTTTCCTTTGCATTAGAAGCAGTTTGCTAATACTTTTGCCCTTTCCAGGTAAATGTTTCAAATGATGGACTGTAACCATGCATTTCACACAATTTGGAATAAGGGGTGCTGCTGACTTGTCAAGGGTAATACTTTTCCCCCAGTGGCCTAGAGACATTTGGGGGGCGGGGGCAAATCCTTATAGCCACCAAAGCAAAAACATTTTTGAAATTTTGCAAACTGCAATTCACAAATGTGGAATCTTTTAGCATTGCAATAGCACTCATCTATCAAAACTGGGGCATTCCAGAAGCTTTAGGGGGGGAAAATAGCCTGTCAGTGAGTTTCTAGTAAAAGAATTGTATTCTACATTTCTGCTTAATCAGAAATGTCCTGAAACGTTGCTAGTATACTTCATTTTCCATTACGTGCAAATGCAGTAATGAATACCTTGTATGCTTTTCAATCACTCTCATCAGAAATCCTTTCACTACACATGTATATATATATATTCTACAGATACGGTATTGTAATGGCTTCTGTCATCCCAAATAAAGTTGATAGTGTACTTATCTGCCAAACTTCCATAGTTTTACTTCTGTAAACTGTTTTGTACAGAAAATGAAAGCTCAATTTGTCAAAAAAGTTACCTTTGGTGGATGATAGTTGTTTTTAAGCTAATAAACTGTGTATCCTGTTCAGACTTGAAAAGTTACTGGATGACATTAAACGCTTCCAAGATTGGAAATCAAGGAATCACAAAGTGCACAATTCAGCTAAAGTGTAACCATTTTCCATTTCCATTTATTTAAAGGGAAATAATTAAGCATATGAGAGTACTCTCACTGAAATTGGCTCGATTTAGAAGTGCCTAACTTTGGCTAGATTGTGCACTGACAATTTAATAATGAAAATATTGCTTATTTAAAAAATAAGTAACAACCATGCAATATTTGCTTTTTGTTGCTGTTAAATTGATGCAATTCATCATGCTTTTCAGTACAACTGCTCCTGGAGTCACAGATCTTGCAAACAAGTATGCAATAGAAAATGAGTATTTGCAAGATTGAGTCCTCTGGTGTATATTCCATAGCGTCAAAACACAATGACACTTGCACATTATATAGCTTTTATTATATCCGTTTGGTGTGCTGAGAATTTGATATATGAAGTTTAGCCTTTGAATTATACCACAGAAATACCCCAGTTAAGGCATCAAAGTGGATCTAGGATCAATGATCCTGAAATGTGATGCTGCAGTGAGGGATCATGCATTTTCTGAACACACGGCTAGCAAATTCCTATGTTATCATCACTGCTGAAGAACTAAAATACCTCAGGCATATCTTAGGCTGACATTTTCAACAAATGTGGACCAAAGTCCTTTCTTGCCGCATGCACACAGTTCCTCTTCATTTCAATGAGGACTGAATACACACATTAGAAAGCAGGATTTGGCCCTTGATGCAATGAGTGCACATTTCTGCAGATGTTTAAAGTTGGGACAGTTTAAAACAAATGATAACAATCATGCATTAACTTATGGTAAGTGTGAACTGTGCCTATATTCAGATTCATGCACATTAACCACCCTGTTCTTTATGATCGTTTGATAAAATGCATGTTCACATTTCAGCTTTCATTTGCCCTGCCGTTAAAGCAGATATTTATGGTAATGCTATGACTCAATTTCATGTTGCTGAAGCATTAGTGGTTTATTATCATAGCCTTGGTGAATTTTCCATGAGGAAAATGCAGTAGTCCATGTTCTAGCCTTCATTAGAACCAGCATTGCATTACTCAAGTTTTCTAAGCCTATGCACACCCTGCCCCAAGTAACCACATTTTAAAGAAGAGAGCCCTTAAAGATAAGAAGTTTCCCTTCAGGACCAAGGAAAGAATCCAAGCAGGAAAGGTCCCTATTCCTTGCATGGAAATGCCATAAGTTTCTGGAGCAGGGACAGAACTCCCTGTCCCTCCTATATGCCAGTTCCAAACATGCTACTTAAAAATAACTTTAAAAATATCAGGCTACTAACTTTTTAGAGTTTATTTAATTTACGTAATCTATATAAGTCCACAAAAGTTCATAGCCTGAAATTTTCTATATCAGATCTTACAGATAAACTACCTTTCCCCCATTTATGGCACACTTCTCTTGAATGGGCACACAAGCCTAGAACATCAGAAACAACCACTCTAGTATTTTGTGAAAAAACTGTATTTTGATGGTAGAGCTAAATCCTGCTTCTCTGACTCCAAGGAAAGATTTGATCGATGCAGGATATCATGCTCATGTAAGGTGTGTTCCAGTGCCCTTTCGGCATTGCAGAGACTTTATCAAGGAAGAAGAAATAACCCGGTGATGCTATGATACTAAAGGTACTTAATTGGACGGAGTCAACACAGGCCAATTATTTCATCCATTTGTGGAACGTTGAGTTCATCTCAGCTGCGATAGATGCCCAGTCAGTGAACCACTAGGACATGCCATCTCATGATCAACATGGCAAAATAAGTTAAACAACCATTTGTTTAACTGTCCCTGACCAGCTTTTGCACATGCAAATTAATATCTTAGGTATTCACTTGATGTGAAACTCTGGAAAAATTCTATTATTTCCTACTGCCCAGCAAATATTTACACTGGCAATTCATTGTACAATTTCCTGTAGACATATCTCAATACTTAGGGCTCCTGTGAGAACTTAAGAGAGTCTTTTTGCAGAATCGTCCCACAGTGCTGCAGTAATGCTCGGAAGGCTAGAATCATGGGGGGGTGGCAACTGTCACCTTTCCTTCCTGGTTGGGTAGGAAGAACACTTGGCAATTGGCTCCATCATGTGGTCCAGCTTTTTAATATATCGTCATGGTGACATGAGAGGAAGGAGAAACAAGGAAAACACATCTTGCTCTGCTGTGGTGATATACGAATCAGACCTCAATAAGTAAATCCATGAAGGTTTTAAGGATTATTTTAACCTGCATAGAGACTAGAACTGTAGGATTCACTATAAATCTGATCGAGCTGAATAAACAATTGTCACTGGAGTAAGCAGTGTTCTACATGGTTGAAGGGAAGGAGAGCAACAGCTTTTCTGATATTTATTTAGCTAAAAATATGGAGCTGAAATATGTGGCCTAGAAAATAAACATCTGTTCAAGTGATGTAGATGAACAAAGAACAGCAGGATTTGTTGGTGTAAATTAGAGTACTTACATTCCACTTAAAGTATAGCAAATTGTGACTTTCATTCTGGTGTTTCTGCTGATAATTACTTAAGAATCTGTTTTCAAATGTTGTTAACTTTCTGAATGCCTATTCAGAAAATCTTTATCATAGAAACTTAAGAGTCTTTTAGAAAAGTTGCATCACTAATATTCTACCAGTTATTTGTTGGGTTTGCCTGCGTGCTAAGCTGAGACCTGCTGACATTGCTAAAGTTAGTGGCAAATCAGTGGAGAATGGTCCATTATGGAATTATTAAAGCAGACAAGCACATTATCACTACAACAAGACAATTTTACTGCAGTACCTTCCTCTCGCCACAGTATGTTTGCAACTGCAGCATCAGAGAAATGGGAGAGCCAGAAAATGATCAAGAAAAGGAAAAAAAAAAACATTGTCAAAATTTCATTGCAGCAATTAAAGGAATTTAACATTCTGGTTTTTTAAAATTGTTTTTCCTCTGATAGCTTTACAGTATTAATTCAGACACATGATGTCACTTGAGTAAAGATATGACAAAATAAACTTCACCAAATTCAGTTTTTCTGTTGAAGTCTCTATTGCCCCTCCCCCACAGCAAACATCAAAGTTTTTATAGAGAGAAAATTCTCATTAAATTAAATATTTTTGATTTTTGCCTAAGTAAAGATTACAAAACATGTCTCTTCATGAGCAGACAGTTCTCCTCTTTCCACAATAATGGCCTTTTATCTTGTAGAATCACACAGAAGCTGTAACCACATGAAAGCTTGCTGTAAATGCAATGCATTTTCTAACAGATAATTACAGAAATCATAATGCTAAGCAGACTTTCTTTTCATTAATATTCATTAATGAGCATTTTGATGTTCAAAGTTTTATTTTTTAATTAATTTATTTTTACAGCCCTCTCTTGGCAAAAACAGCCTTGCTATGGAGATTACTATTATTCTTTTCCCTAATATTTATTTACATTTCTCACTTGTGGAACAAATGCCTGGGGCTGATCTTCCATTGTGTGTTGGTGACTGAAGGCACATTTGTTAGGGAGCTGTAGTCAATCCCAGTTGCCTAGGGGTTGTTGTTTTGTGATTATATGCCCATTTGAAAATACATGTTTGTCAAATTCATGCACTAAATTTTTAAATGCAATATCTTGTTGGCGTATCTTAGAAATGTAATGTGTAAAGCTGGCAGTACACGGTGCTATGCAGTGGTTGCCATGATGCTACAAAGGATTGTGAGACCAATCTTATGTTGCGCTTTGAAAACAATAGACAAATAGCTTCAAATATTTTTCTTTTGCAGCAGTGCCTTGTTAGCTTTAGGCATCAAGAAAATGAGAGATACAAATTGACTGCAATTTTAATTAGCATGGCAACAAATGTAATTCTATGACTGTCAATGAAAAATCTTGCATTCTTCCCTGCTATGCAAGCTGAACCTTGTATCATGTTGCACATATTTCTTCAAATTAGGAGACATCCTGCAGATATTTTATAAGCAAGACTTCCATGAGGTTTCATTAGTGGTATGGGTCTGATTTGTGAGCACTTTTAACTCCAAAATAGGTGCAAAAGAGTACCCCTAAACTCTAGGCCATAACATAGCCCAGCAGATGCCATCAGAATAAGGCCAGAGCATGGTGGCCTTGGATAATACTGTGACCCCACAGGTATGGATTTGGCTGCCCCAGCATCAATGATCTCTTGGAGGACATCATGGGGATATAAAGATAATCACAGCAAGCTTGAAGGTTTCTAATCCCTGGTGTGTTCTAGATTGTGTCATCAGGAGCATAACAGGGTCTAGAGATTTATCCATAGCCTATAATGCTCATAACCTGGATGGAACCATCTGCATTATCCCCAGCCTTGAATGATTTACTAGAAGAGGACATATGGCAGAAAGTGTTCCAGACAAGCTAAAAGAGGCAGAGTCTGCAGGAAAACCTTTAGGTGCCAATGCACTCTTGCTGCTGTTACACTGTGCTGGATGTTTGCTGAACTGATTGGGGGTGGGGGTTAGGCTTAATTCCAAACCATAGAGAAATCTACCCATCACTAAATTTCTCATGTTCCATCTTTGCTTCAGACTCATTATATATTAAAGCAGACTACTAAGGAACAATGTGGAAGTTCTTAACCAGAGTTTGTTAGTTTTAAATAACAACAGTGAATGGAACCACAAAGTCTCTTAGAATTGCGTAATTAATTAACTATTGTTGGTGATAAATGGGAAGCAGACAGCTACTTTGAAATTAGGCTTGATCATGTGAATCTTTACTCAGGCAAAACCCAGTTTGGTACCATTCAATTAAGTCCGCAGTTTTAAAATCTCAAACCATAACCTTAGATATAGTAAAGAGCTTAGAAAGTGTGTGTAAAAGTTAAACCTACGAGTTTTTCTAGCTGAATCTTCAATGAAGAGAGAAGAAATATCCTCATCTACTCCCACTTCATTTTTAGCAATGCAAGTATAGGCACCTGTGTCTTCATATCGAACGCTACTGATGTGAAGTTCGCTTCCATTTGCTGCAACAAAAAAGATCCACAAAAGCTATAAATTGTAACAAGCTCTGGAAAGTGAGGTTTTTAGGCTGCAGTCTTAAACGCAGTTACTTGACAGAGAGTTCCAGTGAAATCAAATAGGCTCAGAGGGTTTTATCCAACAAAGTAATTCTGTTAGCGCAAGGACTTTTTCCTTTCCTTGCACACCTGCCCATCTGTTCTGGAGGACTGGGAAGAGAGAGAGAGGAGAGGAAAGGAAGTTCTATGGTGCAGGAGGAAGTCCTTGTGTTAACAGTAACAGGGCAACTATGTTGGATACAACGTAGGGTTTCAGCCTTACAATTATGCTTTTGAACTCATTGTTCCAGAATTGAGATTGCTTACAGTTGAAGAAGTCCAGAAATACTGAGGATGAATGATTGGTTACCATGACATTGGAAAGTCACAAAAGTTTACTTATCTTTCTAAGAATAAGAGAATGACAGTAGACAATACATCATCAGATGGATAAATCTTTGAAGTTCTGATAATATTTTCATTTCTTGTATTTATTCACATATTTCTAGGGTATCTTTTAAAGCAAAGCCTTCACAAAGGAGCAAAATCAGCCATAAAATACAATGGCACATTTCGGTAACGCCAGCCACTTAAAACAACAGTCTAAAACAGTTCACCGGCCAGTAACTTAACATTAAAAATGAAGTAAAACCACATAAAATCATTTCCATTCAGCAGCATTGTAAAATTCTTTGAAAAACATGTGGACTTCCAGAGTCTGTTTAAAAGCCTGTACATGAATTTTGGGATATTAATTTTGATTATAGCTTTTTTACAGGCAGTTTGACACTATGAATATAAGATACTAAAAGTGGCAATTATACAGGAATTGAGAAATTTACTGTAAACTGATGAAAAGAATTGAGAGCTGCTTTAGGGCACATTCCCTCAGCCAGCATTTGGCTCATGGAGGGGCTTTCTGAGCGGTGTACATGCGGCATAAAGGTGAGAGGCCCACTAGTAGGGTGGTACTTGTACTGCCAGAGCACACACACACCCAAAATGCCTGCAGAGGACTCCCCAGAAGTAGCTGTTCTGCTAGAGGTGAAGGTTGAAACAGGGTGTTCCAGGAGCACATCCTGGGGTTGTTGCGGCAGTCAAGGATCTACAGGATTCTAGAGCCCCTCATTTCCCCAACACACCCTTGATGGAACAAAAAACTGTCCCACTTGGGATGTGGTGGTTTCTGTTTCATGGAGTCTCCACACACACCCATGTGCAACAGGCCTGCTCTGTTAATTCCAGTAACACAGAAAATAATGTTCTGTTCATTCCAATAATATGCATATGAAAAGGGATAGTGTACTGGAGGAATCCAGCGTTGTGCTTTGTCAACACAGACATTTCAGCTTGTCAGACATAACGATTCCCCCTCTCCTTACTCCTCACACAGGAGGTATGTGGGATGCATGGGGTGGGGAAAGGGGAGAAAGTCCCATAGTGCCCCAGCAAAATCCTTTGCATAGGGCATCCACCATTGAGGCTCATTTGGTGAATCACGGAGCCAATTATTTTTCATCCCATTTGGTGCATCACAGGGCCAATTATTTTTCATCTCAACCAATACAGCAGCACTTGATCCAGATTTTACCTAAGAAACTGTAGAAAGTATTGACTGATGTTGATTTTGCAAAGAGAAAAAGCAAAAATTCGGTTCCATTTGACGTCAGATAAAGCAAACTTTTCTTACCCTTACCTAATAGCATCAGTTGCTTAGACAATTTGGGCATGATACCAATGCCGTTCTTTAGCCAGGAGATTTTGGGATTTGGGATCCCCTCAGCATGACACTTGAGGCTGGCTGATACCCCAGGTTCTTGTGCCTGGGTTTCAGGATAAACACGAATCACTGGTGGCACTGTGGAGAGAGAAAAAACAAAACAATGGGTGGCTTTAAACTAAGCTGTTAGATGTCAGCTCTTACTCATCAACAACTTACAACACGGTATTGTTGTGGCAGCTAGGGATATAGAGTACCCAAACATTATGGATCCAAACCATACATTATGTGCAATTTCATGTTTCTTTCTCGTGTGTGTGTGTGTGTTTTAAGGGGCTGTAAACTTTTCCTTTCCTATCACTTATCTGCTCAAGACTGCACTCCAAGTACCTTTCTGCAATGCTGGGAAATTATGTAGTAAGCCTGTATCTTTTCCCTGCAGAAAGAAAAGCACCTTTTGGGTGAATGATTTTGAGTTGACAGCTGGCAGAATGAGAAAGAGTTGGCAACCTTCCACTGGCACTCTTCCGCTTTGGATTGTGTACTCTAAAGTTGACACACACACACACACACACACACACACACACACACCACATTACACTGCTGCTGAAAGAGTTGCACTGACTACCAATAAGCTACTGTGCTAGGTTTGAAATGCTGGTACTGGTGTGATGGACTACGCGGAGTTAGCCAAACTGACTGTTAAGATCCGGAACCAGGGCGACCAGAAATTCCAAAGAGAATGGAGTAAATATATTGAGTACTTGAAAGATAATTGCAAAAATGTGAAGACACTAGCAGGACTGAAATAAATCTTGTAACATAATGTAAAAATAGTATCTGAACATGGACAAAAATGGACTTGATCTATATATTGAAGGACAGAAACTGGCAGTTAAAATGCGCATACAATTTATTAGAAATTGGAAAACCAACTGAAGGGAAGGAGGGAAGTCACGAGCTCAGCAGAGCAAATGTATTTGATATGTATCTGAAAGGCTGTTATATTTTGTGTTGTTTTTTTAAAGAAAAACAACAAAAATTATTTACTGGTACTGGTGTGTAAACCCTAGACAGGTTGGGACCAGGATACCCAAAGGACTGTGTCATACCCAACCAATCACTGCATTCTGTGGGAGAAAGTATCCTGGAGATGTCATCCTACCAAGAGGCCCATTCTGAATGCTGTCAAGGTCTTTAGTGTGGCAGCCCCTATCCTTTAGCACTCCCTCCCATTATATATCAGATCTCTATTCTCTTTGCCTCTTGCTGTGTCTTCTAAATGGAGATCTTCATCCCAGTTCATATCTGTATTGGATTTGAATGATTTTATGTACATACTATTGCGGTTTAAATTGTTTATATGTATTTCAAGAAATGTTTATATATATATATATATATATATATATATATATATATATATGCATTTGTTTTAAGTGTGTAAGAGAGTGTGTGTGTGTAAAACACTTTGAGGTTTGTAATGGGAAGCAGTTGACTAAATGAAATACTAAATAAATAAATAACACACAATTTACTAAAAGAAACACTGGTCTTTACTGAATTCTAACATGAGAGATTAATAAGTAATTCTTGGGGGGCGGGTTGTGCTGCAAATTTGACTCTAATCTAATTGTTTATTTACTCCAATGGCTTTTAAAAATAACCAACGCACGCATTAGAAACTGCTTAATTTTGCCATAAACAGCTCAATCCTACATAGGTGTCAACAACTCAACATTTTAGTAGTCCAGCCTGTAAAACTATCTTTGGTTTAGTGCTGAGATGAAATGGGCAAAATTAGAATTTCAGATTTACACCATTCCAGATGGGATGTACCGTGCTGGTGGTATTTGAAGAGGTGAATTCTGTGCTTGTGGTGTGTACTAATGCTGAACTTAAATATACCCTCTGTCTTTCCCCACTGTTTTTTTCAGGCTGCAAAATTGCTGGTGGAGGGGGGCATTTTATGATTTTATATTTTTATTTATACCTTATCTTTTCCCTGACAGGACTCAAGGCAAGACATTTCAGAGGTTTGGGCAGACAAAATATGGGAAGCTCTCATGAAAACTTAGGATCGGTGGTGAATGCAATCCCAGCACTGATGTGAACCTTTAAAAAAATGCACAAGTTTCTTGAGAGAGCAAGGAGCAACACCCTCATTCTTCATGTTAAAGGCAGGTGATGAAGTGGAATTGGCATGAAGACACGTTAGAATGAGGGCAGTATTCTGTGTCCTCTCCCTGGTGTCTTGTGAGTAAAAATAAATAAAACTGTAAACACCAGCAACAGGGAGCAATTTGGGCTGAATCTTCTCTGTCATAAAATACAAATTAACACCATTAACATCAGTGAGAGTTATATCTATCCTGAAGGAGCATGTTGAAGACATTGCTTTCCTGTCTGAAGGGCATTTCTGAGATGATCACAGTTTGAGCATTTCTACCACCGGAATAGATGCAATAAAAAGTGCTGTTTGAATTCACTTGTCTCTAAAGGATAGATAGAATAAGGCCCCATTTGAGAAAAATACACATTTATCAAATAACTAGTTTGATATGCAGCTATATATAGCAGCATTTTGTATTGAAAAAGTAAACTTCACCACTGTTGAAAGCTACCTTGATTTTTCTTCTTCTCAGCACCATGATGTGTTTCAGTGAATTTAGGGTAATTTCCTTACGCTGCCTTCCTTCCCCTCAGCCAAGCTAGTTTAGTCACATTGTTATGATGTCACTCACATTTGTGTTTGCCATATGTTTTGTATAGGGAAGGTTTTTTCCCTATAGCATTGTAAAATGGAGGGGTGGGTTCTTATGTAACTGTACGTATGGATTTTTGAAAATTGCATTTTTGATTTTGTATGCTGCAAAAAAAATGGTGGTGATGATACTGAGAATGCTCTCTTATCTATGGGCCCCAACCAGCCTCCTATATCCAATTTAAAATGGTATTCTGGAATAGTTTTGGTTGGTGTTTAAACAGGAACTGAAGAAAGAAGGGGTTGATTCCTACATTCACTCAGTAGTGTGTGACCCAAATAAGCAAAATCAGTAACAGAGTGGTGTGAAAGTGTATCTTGGCAGCTCTAGTGGAAAAATAATACAGACACTATAATTAGACTGCACATTAGAACCAAATCTTATACAATTTCAAAGATTCAAAAATACTTATTTCTTGTTTACAATCCGCATGCATCAAATCTTTGTGAAATTCATCTTTAGCCATGAATTTGTGATTTGCGAGTGGAGGAATCCATGAAAAACTCTTATCATTCATTCCCCCCATTATTTCATCTTGGCACTAATCTGCACACATAGTGAGAGCCCTCCAATCTTCCCAGGTTGCATTTTAAACTGGCATTTTTTGCAAGAACTTGACTAGACATTTTTAAAGTGTATCACAGAGGGGCCATATTCACCAAACTGAGCTAGCTCAGTTCATAATATTGCCACAGTGAAGGTACTTCCAAGAGGTTGATGTCAGCTGACAAACTTTTGATGCAAGCACAATGTGTGATTTGTTGTTGTTGTTGTTGTTGTTGTTGTTGTTTTTTTGCGTGGTAACTCAGTTTGGAACACCAAAACCCAGAATTAAAACTTGCTAGGAACCCTTCTAATTAATATGTCTCTAGTGCTACTTTCAGAAAGGAAGAACATCTAGCAATTATATTCATCCACAATATCCCTTGAGCTATTTCCTTCCGGTGACTATCCACAGAAAGATTCCATTATCTTGCACCTACATACTGATCCCTAAAATAGTTCTCAAGTCACCAGTTCTGGTGAATACTGTAAATGATATCAGAAAGGGAAGCATGGTTTCAAGTCTTTTTGTTTACAAAGACGTAAAAAAAGACAGCTCAGGTGTAACTTGAACTGAAGAGACTGGAGGCAATTGTGGAGAGAGAAGATAGGAACTGACCTTGCTTCCATTTTAAATCAGGCATTTGGTTTTATCTTATTTTATCCATAAAACCATCAAGGCACACTGTGCTGTTAGGATATTTTCTGCCATTCATTACAATAAGCTTCACATACCATAAGAGTCTCTAACCAGGCTGACAGTATGCTTTCTGACTTTGCCAAGCCTACTAATCATGAACTGTCTGGAAGAATGCATGCCAGATTTGTTAGAGTCTCTCTCTGAAGGAAAGAGATTTGTGTACTGAGGCTGCTACAAAAGCCAACTTTCTCTTAGTAAATTAACAAGAATGAAAAGTCCAAAGTATTAATAGCACTATACTCCTGAGCAATTCTCATTACAGCCATGGGCAAACTAATTTTAGCACGCATTACATCATATCTTTAAATAGGCATGAGAGTAGCATCCTCATTTAATATAACCTGTTTTCAAAGGATATCTATAAAAGGAAATAGGCAAACTCACTGAGGGTTTTTGTTAACATGGGCAGATTGATGATATTTAAACAAATCTGTTAATTACCTAATTTCTTTGTCCCTTGAATCTAGGGTAGAACAATGCAAAATTATGTGCAGATGGTAACATACTGAAGTCATATTGCATCTGAGGAAAAAAGCAGGTTGGCTCATTAGGAAAAAATAACAATCAAATTCATAGGAGGTTATGATTCATAGGCAGTTTTGTCTGTGTGAAAAGCAAGTAGATGAATGCTGGGCTGTTTTTCTTAAACACTTCTGGTACGAATGCCCATCAATTGTGCTAACCTGACTTTCTTGACTGACTTTCTTTATAGCCTGATTCATCACCAGCCATTTAAGCAAAGAATGTGGCTTGATCCTTGCAAGTGCTTGATAGCATAACGGCAAGAGTATTTCTTTCATTAGTGAATAATGCTAATTAAAGCTAATCAACACAAGCAGAACAAAGATGAAGCTCTATAACTTTACTTAAACAAGCAGTGCTCGAAATGAGCAAAGCAAAAGACCAATTTTTTTTAAAAAGTGAGAGTTTAAAACACCCACCACTTTGATCCTGCTTCAGGTGTTGTTTTTGGAACGAAACTATTGTTCTCCTATGCTGAGAATTGGGCAAAGTAAATATGCCCCTGTTGGACTTCTCAGCAGAATCTTAGCTACTATATGCCTTAGATGGGATTGGGAGGCATCATTTTGAAATGGTTCCAGTTGTTTTTTGGAGTGGGGTAAGACCCTACTCCAGAAGACTCCATTTCTGGTGGACACTTCAATGGCATATGGTGACCCATAAGGATCAGCTTTGTTTCCTCATTATATTTAGCATCTACATGGAATCACTGGGACAATTTTTGTGGGGGAGGGGGGAGTTTTGCATCCCAGAAGCAAGACAGCAAGCTGGAAAGCCAGAGAGGCAGAGAAATGGTTGAACTCTGCTGGAATCCAAGGCTGTGGCTATGGGAGAGGCAAGACCCTTTTGGGGTGTAAATGCTGTGGACCCTCTACTGCAAGCTCAGGTTGTATATACATGTAAATAAACCATATATCGTAAAGACACCACCATCTCTGCTGTGCCTCATTCCCAAAAGGAAACAAGAACCCTGGGTAAGCACTTGGAACCCCTGGAATCTGGCACTGTTTGGAGTGGCGTGCAACAATATTATATATCACATATTATTATGATTTCTTACCCCCCCTTTCATCCTAAGCTCCCCGGGCAATTAAATATAACAATTAAAACACAGTATCAGAAACGCTTTAATCTACTTCTCCCTACCTAAGTCTCAAAGCAGCTTACAATGATAAGAAATATACAATATATAAAATTTAAATATATAAATTCAGCCTCAGAAATTTAAAGCCTCAGAAATTTGAAATCTCAGGAATTTGAACGAATAACATCAGAATATTTTAAAACATCAGGAAAGCATTCATGATGCAAGGACCTTTTGAAAAAAAGTGCTTTAACCGAGTATCTGAAACTCAGCAGGGATGGTGCCTGTCTGACTTCCAGTAGGAGGAAGTTCCACAGAGATGGCTCCACAACACAGAAGACACGACTTCTAATACTAATAGTGCTCCCCAGGGCTTTTTTCCCAGAGGGAACTCACTGGAACTCAGTTCCAGCATCTCTTGGGTAGGTGCTGAGAAAGAGAGAGGTGTTCATGGTGAGTTCCAGCACCTCTTTTTCTAGAAAAATAGCACTGGTGCTTCCCCAGGTGATCTCAGTGATCCACTTGGAATGTACAGGGTAAGGTGGTCCTTAGGCTGGAGCTCCTACTTCACCTGTACCTCAAAATGTAAGACCTGGCCGCAGTAATTCATACAGCTTAGTTACATGCAGGTTGGATTATTGTAGTATGTTCAACATGGAGTTGCCTTGAAGGTGACATTGGTAGGGTTGCCATAATTCAAACAGTGAAAATCCGGACGGAAAAGTTGTTGAGCTAGACACTGGGAAACTTTAAAATGTAGCTGCAAGTCTCATGCTCGTGGGTGCTTGGCCATGGGGTCGTATGTCACCCATTCTACTACAACTGCACTAGTTGCCAATGTATTTCCAAGCATAAGCCATAGTGTTGGTGGTTATCTTTAAAACCTTAAACGGCTTGGCTCTAAAATACTCAAGGAACCACTTCTTCCTGCAACAGCCTGCCTAATCTCTATGTTCTGGTTTTTGTGTTCTCCTTCCTGCAACCAGCATTATGTAAGACCTTATCCTGGGAGGTTTATTTGGCCTCCTCCCTCACTGCTTTCCATCGATTGGTGAAAACATTTCTGTTCCAGCAAGTTTCTGCCTGGCAGGTGGTGTATTATACAGTGCACTCTGTTCGGGGGGTTTGTATGCTGTGCCTGTTTTAATTTTTTATATTGGCTTGTTTTATATTGTTCTTTTATTATGGGAATCAATAGTTAGCATCTGGACAGCATACTGTATTTTAGCCGTCAGCTGCTCTTAGCAGTGCAAAAGCATTCGAAGGGTGAGGTACACATTTCTAAATAAATAATCCATATTTCCTTTATCAACATCCATGCTCCAGTCTAGAGTCAGAAAACTCTCTCTCTCTCTCTCTCTCTCTCTCTCTCTCTCTCTCTCTCTCTCTCACACACACACACACACACACACACGGCTTCTTTTATGCTGAAGGGATTATTCATTCACTTCACTAGAGCAGAAAATGTCCCTCTTGGTCCCCTTACTTTCTCTTCAGTTGAAACGAATGAAGATGTCTCTTCATGCAATAACTTCTTCACTATCATCATCATCATTAATGTGCTCATAGAAGTAGTTAGGCTGTGAACAAGGGCTAAGGCTGCAATTCAGGTAAATTCATTTACCTGAGAGCAAGCCCTATGGAACTCAATGAGACTTCCTTCTGAGTAGGCATGTCAAATTTAAACAACAATAATAATTCCCTCTCCATCTTCCCACACAGTGATTTACCAAGTGAACTTTAAAAGATTTGCAAAGTAGTCATTGTTGTTAGACCTCTATTATTTATTAATTTAACATCCTTTTTTAAAAGAATGAATGAACGAAACACTTTCCCAAGGCAACTCACAGCATTAAAATAGCGTAACAGCAACACACCAATTAAATATGTTCGTGGCTGCAACAGCATAACTATATACAAAAGCACCATAAAACACACTTGTAAAAAGCCTTATGGGTTGTTTTGAAATTAAGTTCTCAATGGGCATCTAAAGACAGGAAAAGGGGAGGCTTGATGAGTTTCCCTGGGTAGAAAGTTCTATAGCTGTGCAGATACCATTGAAGGTTGTCTTCTTGGGATCTGCCTGTTCAGTTCTAGCTAGTGATGGGCTGGAGAATAGGGCCGCAGAAGGCTTGGATAGGTTTCTATAGGTGCATGCTTTCAAGGTGGTCGTTCCAATGGCAAAAGTAACAAAGACTTCAGTGCCATATGATCAAGACTTGTCAACTGGAATTAATAAAGGCTGAGGTATCGCCTTATTTCTCTGAGGATCCCAAAGAAGTATGGAACAAAGCTTTCCCATATGTTTCAGCAGCAGCCCTGAATGCACACATTTATCCTGTGAAAAGATTGCCACTAGTCACCTACAGTACTGAATCAAAGTTCTCCATTAAAATTGCCTCAAAGTGAAATTACTATGTCACCATTTCAGAAGGATTAGTGGGCACTGCACATTAGTCTTTCACTTTCCAAAGGAGCATTGGACTTCCAATACATTCCTGATTTCACCCAACCTCTTTTAAATTCCCCCCCCCCTTAAATGGAGGATTCAGAGACAACAGGAGGGTGATGGCAACCAGTTGTGCACTGGTAGCAAGGAATGAATGTACCAATCTATCTGTGACTGAACCCAAGAATAAATGGGTGAGATGTGAGGAGTTGAACTAGGGTCATATTTTATTTAAACTAAATCTACAGAGTGGGAACCTAACTTAAGCTCAACCTTGGGTGAGTCAAGCCCTGCCCATTTCAAGGCGCATGACAAGACTCAGCTCCAAAGCAAGGGCCCCTTCCTGCCCAACCCTATCCAAGGCCCCATAACTCAGGGAAGATGTGGCAGGTGGGTCTCCAGAACAGGCTAAGGGCTTGTCCACACCAGGCCTAGGAAGCATGGGCCAGAGTGGTTTTCAGCTTGTCCTGTGCTATCTAGACATGGGTCCAAGTGGTTTTGCCTTTGCCCTTCTGCTTTCCCTCCAGGAAACCTGCTCTGTGGAAAACTCGATTGCCATTTGATATGATTCAGCACTAAAGCATGGGTTTTCCAGGGGAAAGAAGTGGGGCAAATGGAAGTGTTGATGAACCCTATGACCTTCACAATACATAGCAGTGCCTAAGGGTGCTCACCTGTTGCCTTATCTAACCTTAACCTTTCCCACACCTCCTTGCCAGCAATATAACTGACTTAACCATGAAACCACGCCTATCTATTTAACCTCTAAATATGAACACCTCCTGAATCCAGTACAGAGTAGGGGGGGGGAACCCGTTTGCCCAAATGTGCAAGCAGGCAAAAATATTCTACTCAGATTCATATGTAAAGCTCTCAGCTGAAAGAACATTGTGATGTTGCATCAATGATTTACATGGACAGATCGCTCATATGCCATTTGATTGTGATCTAAAACTGGAGGAATTTTTCTAACTTTCTGTTTTTCTTCTAAATGCCAGATTGCCACACATTACATTGTTCCAAATGGCTGTCTATTACTAGGCAGCTCTCTTGGATGATCTCTGAAATTGGATTGAGGAGCCAACCACCTTTGGTAGCCATTTTCATGGAAGACGTTACAATGATTTATGTCAACTTATTCTACGGAGCAGCAACCAAGGAAAATGATTCCTGGCACTCAGGGGTCTTTTGGTTTGCAAACTATCCATTTTCATAGCAGATTACTGTTTTATGAGGCTCTTTATCCCCCAAAAAAGCTTTCTGTTAGAAATGATAAATGGCTTTTCTTTCGCTGAACTTGATGTATAAAATACAAAACTCTAATGTGATATGAGCACATATAAGGGGAGAAAGCATATTACCAGCATACCTACGTTTCTTTATGACCCCTATTAACTATTCACAGGCACAGAGTGCATTGAACCAGATTCATTCCATCTTCTTGAAAGAAATGTTGTGAAAGAGAGCAGAACTTAGAGAAACATCAGTAGTTTTACTTTTCACAAAATGGTGCTGTTTCAAACTATCCTATTCAAAATGTCCCATATTTTACTTCATGCTCCTCTTTCACACTCTTTCAATGGACTGGGAAGATCTATGTCATGTGTCTTTCCCACACAACTTTGGTAATGTCTGAATCCCCTGCTGACATAGAAGGTCCCCACACAATGCAGCTTTTTCCCACATGAGGATTTATCAGTGGTGGCTGGTGCCTATTGGTTGAATGGAAGGGTGGGAGACCAACAATAAGTGGAGCCAGAACCAAAGAGAGGCAGATCCAACTAATACTAGTTATTTCCCATCCTTCCTGCTGAGTTCTTTAAGGGGCAACATTGAGACTAAGAAGTACAAAGCTGACAGACAGTGTCACCCCTTGGACTGATTGTAAGAAAGAAGACAGACAGGTGGGGACTGGCTGAGGGCAGACAGAGGTTGGTGGAGCAGTGCCCCATTTGCCCTAATGGACCAGCCTCCACAGGGACTGATCCAGTTCCTGGTAGATATAAGGCTGACAAGGGAAGGAGTCATTTCTCTGATTCCTCCCACACGACTTGGGGTTTTTGACTGCTGGAGCAGTCTTGGAAAGACACCTGCATCATCTCTCATGCTGCTCAGATAATGCTATGTCCACACGCTTGTTCTTACAGATTATGTACAGGTTCTAAGGGCAGACATATGAAACTTCTGTGCCATATGCATATTCCTTAGGATAGTGTCTGCGCTATCCTAGTGTTACAGCTGCTGGATAATCTTCCTTTTGTATGGCAGATGAGTAGCTAATGGGCAAGGATAGTTGTCTGATGCTTTCTCGATGAAAATAATTCTTAAGAAATAGGTAGTGATGTCTCTAGAGAGATTTGAATGGGAGAATGATTGGAACTAAGAAGGTGAGTGACATCGCCATCTTCTTCAGTTGATATGGGAAGCTGATGTAAGGAGAGAGTGCACAAAAGAACAAAATATGCTTTACAGCATGAGAGAGAAAGGGAGGGAGGTTGAGCCTCCCCCACCTGCAAAGTGTCAGTCCCCAAACTGGAAGATACACAATGAAAAAGAACACACTTCTCTTCAACAACAGAAGGAATGCAAACTGGGCACCATGTTCATGGAATTGGTCACAGATGTGCTAAATGGGTGCAATATTCAGTGCAAAGTGAAAGTGCACAAACGAACTATTGGTGTTTATCAACACAATCCTTAAGTATTTGTGGGTCACATTTTGTGGTAGGGAAAAAAGAGGTTTGCACCAGCATTTACTAAGATCTACAGACTTGCCCCACAGGGTGCCTTTGCTTTGAGATAAGGAAAAGGAATAGGCCTAAATATTTAGTTACTGTTAGCGTATTTGTGTGAACATTGGGAGCACGTATGGCAGAGCTTCTGCTTTGTATGCAGAATATCCAAGGTCCCGTTGCTGGCATCTTAAAGTAGGGCTGGAAATGTCCCTTACCTGAAACCCTGGAAGGCTGCTGTGGGCAGTACTGAGCTAGATGAACCAATGGCCCAATTCGTTATAATAAGGCAGCTTCTTACAATCTGAATTACTGGTCCAGGTTCTTTTGTGAAATATGTATTATGGTATGGCTCATAATGGCAGCACCAAACTAGAGCATTATTTTCCCGAATGCTGATTCTCTACGCATTTAAAATATATTATCATATGCTATTATATTATCTGCCATTTTCTGCTAAGTTCACTTAGTTTATATATTAATCTAATTGCATGTCCCTTGCCTTTGTTAGTATTCTGCCTTTCAGTCCAAGGAAAAGGCTCAGACCTTGTCCCCAGACTGCAAAACCATGAAATGCAAGCAATCCCTGAAGAAGAACCCATCTTGAAATGCTAGCACTGCCTTCTGTAGGTCAAACAGCATTGTTTTGCTATCCCTTTTTGATCCACTGCCCCAACATCAGTTGCCGGAACATGTAATCACTGGAGTGAAAAAGAAGAGTTGTGCAATGGGGGTGAAGTACATTAAGAGCTGCAACAAGGCACTTTGGGGAGAAATCTCAAGAGGTAGCACAAGAGCCTTCCACACTGCATCAGACAAATCTTTCTCACAGGCTCTGGCATCACTCTGCAGTGTTGCATAAGACTCCAACACCACTCTGTCGAAACTGATGTCCGCACACTTGACATGTTTGCTAGCGCTTGGCTGTTTGGGCGTATTACAAGGCAAACAAGGAAGAAGATTTGTAATGAGAAGGATGCCCTTTGAGGAGAGGATGCCTCACAGGGTTTTACAGATATATATAAAAGCAAACATGAAACTCACTTCCCTGTGCTTTCATCTACAAAGAACACATACCCCCCTCGCAACTTGTTGTATCTGAAAAGACAGGTTGGAGGAAGCCTTGGATTTGATCTACTGTCTACATTGTCCCACTCTGTGCAATCATCTTTTGAAGTTTCAAAGCCTTCTGGGGCTTGGATTCTCAGGGATGGCAACAAATCTACATTGCTGCCTGACACCAGTAACATTCCAGAATATCTGAAAAGATACAGAGGAGCAAGCTGTTTGGCTTATGCATTTATTAACATTTTAACCCTGTCCTTCCTCCCAGAGTTGCCTAAGGTGGAAAACAACAAATACAAAAAATAAAATATACATTTAAAATGCTCCCCCCCCCATCCAGCATTTATCAGAAATTATCAGCAGCAGGCCACTTGGTATCATGGAGCTGGAGCTGCAGCAACAGACACTCCTGGAAGAGGTATTACTGCTGCAGACCAGGAGGGTCTGTGTGTTTGTGCTGGATTGGCTCTATCTGCGTGCCTGCACAGCCCTGATCTTGCTGCCTCAGACTTCCTGGTAAAAGCAACACTGGCGTTCCTGCCAGGAGGTATTGCTGCTGCTGCCCTGCCCTGCTGGGCAAACCATTCCTCGTTATCACACAAAGAACATTTTGAGAAGGGAATTCTTTTCCTCCCTGAAACATGCACAGGCCACCTAGCTGCATATATATGAACGCACACACAAAACATAAGTATTCCCATAAGTCAAACCAATTTGTTGCACCCAGCCACAATGGATTAACCGCACACTGTTCCTTAAGCAGAGCCCATCCTGCAAGCTCATCTCTCCTTTTCTTCGGCTGGCCTAAAAACAACAACCCTGCTTCAGACTTGTGTTTGGAGCCCTGTCTGGAAGCTGCATATAGCCCTATTCATAAAACTGCAGCTAAAAATTGCCAGTGTCCAAGAAAAGAAAACTTTACCCCAAGGAAACAGTTGTCGGCCCATGAGATTGATGATAACCGACAAAGGCCTGGGAAACATTCATAACCGCTATACTGATAAATTGTATTAACTGTAGATTAAGGGTAGGCAGACTTCAGGACTGATGGATCTACTTTGTTTTTGAGAACGCTATGAACCAAGCCAGGGGTAAGACACAGGGCCTTATCCAGTACTTTCTATGCAGGAGTAAAATACTCATGCAATTGATTTCACTTTCCTTTCCTGCACACCCTCAAAATCTGCTTCAGGTGATATGGGGACCTTCCATAGCAGATTTCTGGGGTATACATGGGGCTCTATGAAGTGAAGGAGATAAAAGTGAAGGGCTGTTGCACAATCAGAAGGAAAGGTGCCTTTTTGCTGTTGCTTTCGGAGTCAGAAAGCCTTACGACTGCAAATCAGCCAGAGATCTCCCAGTAGCTCCCAATCCACTTTTCACCCATCACTGCTATAGATTAAAAAAAATTAACAAATATTTTGTATATCTCTTCAGTTGATCTCTCTATCACTGCTTTCTTTTCCCTTGCCGTTTCTCAATGTGTAAATTAACAATATAACAGGTTTCTTTCCCCTTCTGCGGGTAGCAGTGAAAAGATGTGGTATGCTTTTGTTTTGTTGCTTTTGTGAGAACAATATTAACATTCAGCATTGCTCACAGGAACATTTCAGCGAATTGTCACATGTGCCATTTACTAACCATTCACCTGAAGAATGTGGGTCTGATACAGTTCTTCATAGCCATAGGCATGACACGTGTAATTGCCCATGTGAATAGTTGTTACCTTGGTGATGTAGAGAGAATCATCTTCTCCAAAATCCTGTAAGTAACAAAAGACAAGGGAGGGGAAAAGACCTATCATTTAGCAATTTTGTTTTAAATGCTGCAAGTGGCTATGCTAACACTTTGCATGTTTTGACAGTTGCTCAGCTTTCAATGGGGCTTACATTTTCAACATGGTATTTTTACATACGCAGATTTGTAAGATGGAATGAATAAGAGATAACCTGCCAATACATAAATGGGAGAAACTAAAACTAACTCATCTGAAAAGCTCCCCGATTTCTTAAAAAAAATGGGACTCTTATATAAAATGATGATAATCCAGTCTGACAATTGAATACTTGACAAATTACAAGGCAAACTGTTTTTGGGATGTGGTTTTAGTTTATGGATATGGTTAATGAAAGCACTGCCTACTAAATGAAGCACTGAAACAGGCTTTCAATTATTTGCAAGAGCATTGTGTGTCAATGATTTCTGCTATTGTTCAATAAACCTAGTTACGAGTTAAGAAGAAGAAAGGGTATTTCCTTTTTAAAAACCCTTTTGATTTTTAATTGGCTAAAATGTGCTTTATTTTTTTGCTTGAAAAAAGGAGAAGAACTCTGCTCTGTACTTCTAGTTCTTATGGTGTAATTTAGAATTATAATTATGTTAGAAAAGCTGAAATGTCTGCTAGGTTTCAAAATGTGGCTCTGTTGGCCTTGCGTTCTGCTTATCGGTTTACTGCAAATGATGCTTCATAAGCCTATATATCGAGGAATAAA